AGCCGAACGTCAAGCAAACTGCTTAATTAGCACGTGGGGAAAAATGTATCTACGCATTCAGAAAATGCTTATACGTGAAAAAAGAAAAAACACTCGCAAAAATTATAAATCATATTTTCCTCTCCAGTTTTTTGCCGTTTTCTCAATGTCCATTTACGGTTCTATTTCCATTGTTTTTTCCCCACTGTTAGCTTTATTGTATTTCCTCTTTTGCGATGAAGCACAAACAAATTTGTAGTTTGTCGAAGATTTAAATTTTCAACTGCAGTTCACAATCTTGTTTCCGAAACATGTAGCTGGCACCTTTACCATTACTTTGAAAAATGCTGCATTGTCTGTTGATCAGATTGTTGTCAATTTGTCTCAGAAAGGAATTGCCAGCTCATTGGTTCTCCCGACAAGAGCATTCGGCAAGACTATTTGTGTGACAATGTCTTCCACATTTACTGAACATTACTCTCCGGTCCGAAAATTGCTGCTACTAAAACGCGGGAAGGTAACTTAAATTCTCTGTTGTTGTTATTATTATAAGCCAACGAGTGTAAAGAGCTGAATCGGAGTAAGAAAAGGCAACTTTTTCCAGTTTGCAAAATGCTGGTCAGTTTATAAGGAACTTACTCGACCGGCTGACATATAGTAAGTTTTTGCGGCACTGTTGATGATATGATCAATACACTGCATTGAAAAATTGAAAGTCATCATTTCGCATATTGGGCGGAGGCCCATGAATGCTGCACCAACGGCTAATCCGGCAAATCCCATCTCCGAGATCGGCGTATCGAAGCAGCGTTCTTCGCCGTGTTTTTGCATTATGCCTTTTGAGCACTGAAAAGCAGCTATCCACATTCCAGCTCTCTACCGTTAGGCATTTTCAAAATGAACCTGCCATCTTTCCACTCACTTTGCCGTCCCTCGGTTAGCCCTTCAACGCAGTTATGACCGGATTTTAAGCAATTTTTTTGCCCTGATCCTCATTTCACACTGGCAATTTTGAATAAATAATTGTAAAACACACTTGGGGTTAATGAAAGTTTGAAAAAGCCTGACTGGTAAATAAGCTGTATTTTCACCT